ATGATGATGATAATGATGATGATGATGATGATGATGATGATGATGATGATGATGATGACAGAAATGGTCGAGAACACCTGCCTTCGGAGAATCACGGTTCCTGCGTGCTTCCATAACGTGCATACTCCATGCAGTTCTAACAATTCAAGGTCTTTTGTTCATAGTCACACCACTCTCGTTCGAACGGACGTCCTACTGGTCCGGTTTAATTATTCCGGTGAGTCCACACCAGAGGGAAGCACTGGACTCGAGTTTCGCTCGAACTCTAATAAGAGCAAAATACCTATCCCGCAAGGTTCCAAAACTGCCGTTCAAGGTCTCTGGATTCGCCGATTAGATAAGAACACCGATAAAGGTATCTTAAATTGTTGTCGACACTGGCATCCGGTTACATGGGTGCAGGATGGCACACTATCAGAGAAAGGATCGATTGGACCGGGGAATAGCACGAATGAAATCGACCCACAAAAGCACGGATTAGTCATGCCGGTTTATGCTTGTGTGTGAAATCATCCAGATGTGACTTGGCACAGCCGTCAGGACACTGTTTTTGCAACATATTCATTGCAGTCAACAATGCCATACGCACACAGAGAAACAAACAAAGACAGTTTTTTTGGTGGACGGCAGCAGCAAGTTCTTTAGGCATAACCTCTATAGAGAATTGCAAGAATATCAGCGAAAATGTACACGTTAGTTTCGAGTTCTAAACCCTAGTAATTCTTGGGAAGAACTACAGGATCGCTAGTGAGAAACTGATGCATTTCAAAGACTGCGATGTGGCACAAACCTACACATGACTCATACTATCTGGGTCAGCTTGAAACGTGGTTATTGCTTGATGAACGGCCAGTTTCACCCCATGCTGCGATAAAAAGTGACAATTTCAAGTCTTCCTAGAGCACGCCATTCATCATATCTGAATATTCTTGTGTGCGACAGCATAAAACTTCCAATGTAGGTGGATTTCCGCCGAGTCAAAAAGTTAGCATTGTATGGCTAAAGGTTGATTTCGAGAACGTCACCTTGAAGCAATCGAGCTCTCTAAACAGACACCGGATCCGCGTCTATTTTGAGGGTGGTTTTCGGGATAACAATGCAATATTCTGGGCGTTTTCCCCATGATTGATGGCCGTAGTGTGACGTCGATTATGCTAAAATGGGTTTGAAGACTGATTGACTTTCAAAAGTTGTGTGTGACAGCGTCGCGATTCAATTGAGATGATTGAATACCAGTAAAAAAAATCACTTTGAAAGTATGCGCTACAGTAACCTGACCATAGCAGCGAAAATACTAAGAAACAGATAGTCTGAAAAACAGCAGCAGAAAGCTGTATATTGCATCCAAAAGAAGGGTGAGTAGCTTCCATTTTTTTATTTAAACCAGTGGAAAACCTACACGACATCCCTCTCCTTCACCCCAACTGATTCGTTCATTTTCAAGTTGTAAACTTCTTTTCAAGCGGGTGCGCATTGTCTATTCACGTAACTTGATGTGACAAGCAGCGCAAAAGTCGAAAGGCGACCTCGCATTCAATGAGGTGGTTCTGCAGGAAATGCAAACATTCGAGTTTTTATGCCAGAGATGATATACCGCTTGTGATAGGTCAACTTCACGATGAGTCACTTTCAGATTTCTGTTGGGAATGATAGATGCAGTCGAATCATTGTATGAATCGGTCCAGATAATGATAATCGTTCAGCTGTAACAGCCCTCCGGTAACTAGCTACCATGCTACTCAAATGAAGAACAAGGTTGCTCAAGACAAGGGAAGTCGATAGGTGGAGGTCGGGTTCGAATCACGGACCTTACGGTCGGTAAGGTCGCCCCAGCAGCACACCTAGTTATGATATGAAAATTCGACAGAAAAAAAGATCTTTCTACTGAATGCGTCTTATACGGCCGATGAAATCTCTCGACAGCCCACTGCAGGCTTCGCTCCTCTTAGGTCATATCAAGGGGAGAGGGCTGTTCTTCGTTTAATAAAAGTCGGAGGAACCCAGATCAATATACTGAATATCGTTTCAACTGAAAGATGAGGTGCGTTCAGTTGGAAAATATTATAAGCGCGAGCTTTGAATGAGTTTCGGTTGAGTCACCCCTCGATATCAGTTTATCCTGCGAAGCTCAATTTGACAAGATGAGTAAAGTTCCCATCTGAAAAGTCGTCACTCGAGGGATCAGTCAGGACTTGACCACGTGATGTGGTATTTTTCACTGGAGGATGAGCACACTGCTCTCCTCAGCTGCTGGTGGCCGAACGGTTAAGTGTTCAACCATTGTGCGGAAAGTCACCGACTAGAAACTCTCTGAGTGCCGCGGGATGCGTAATGATGATTCCTAACAGGGATGAGACAACTGTAAAGTGCTACTCGGCCTTTTAGCACAAACTGAGAGGGGGAAGACTCTATTGAAGAATATATGTTTGCAAGAACCCTCAAACTTTTTTCCACCCGAATGAATTGCACAAAACAAGGAAGAACGATCAGTATAATCGTTGAGTCCAAAAAACTGTGCGGTGTTTCCGGCACTACAGACAAATTAGCGACGTTTCTTTCACCAGTAGGCAGAGTGACAGTTGTCGCGGCCGCCGGCGCAGCGGTCGCCTGTCTGGCATTTGCGACGTAAACAAATTCCAATGTGAATTTGACCTTCAGTGATGAATCATCACCGCACGACTTCATTGAACGTCAGCTCTAGACCGCAAATGTACAGGGCAGTGTGTACGCATGGGAAAGCCTGAGGGTTTCTTATCAAAGCGAATCCTATGACGCGTTGAACGTCAAATATTCAGGTGTGCTGACCGGTCAGATTTGAAGGGGACTAGTATGTAGCAAATGAGCAATGAACGAAATGTCGGCCACACAAAGCGACCGAATTAGGATAAACGGCAGTTCAAACCTTGTTTTATTGGGTAATCGATCGATCCCATTTAAACAGTCAGCTCATGCTTTCACAAGTCCGCTGAAAACTCTTCTACAGCCCACAACCGATTTAACTCCTCTTCGAAAAAAATTGTGTAATGACGTCTTCTCTGGCCTTCCAACCAGTTTCCCGAGGGGCAATTTTCTCTGGGCTTACAAATGCGGTTTGACTTATTCTGAAAACGTTTCATAAAGACCATGTACTTAGACCGGAGGGCATTTTAATGTTTAGCAATTTTCATCTAACTCATGATCGCTCAATCCACTTTACGGACTATGCAATTTTTCTCTATTCGACGGTGTGAAATTAACTAAGGTAGACCAATGTTCAGCTGTGGCACCCTTTCGATGCCTAACTGCCAGGCAACTAGAAGGAAGCACGAGGGCTGGGATAATGTCAGGTTGCTCAAGCCTAGACAGGAGAAGTCGAGAGGTGGTAGGCCAATGTCATGTTTGTACGAATACGTTTGCACAAACCACCGGGGTCGTGTTGCCGTCAATCGCGGGTAATGTGTGGGTAGGTAGGTTCACGGTCGCTAGTCACGGTAATCCCAAGCTGAAAGTAGAAAACTGGCAATCAAAGAGGTTGACCAGTTGATTACGCTGTTACACAACGTCACCACAATAAGCACTTCGACATCGCTGCTATAATCCTATTCGTCATCCCGATAATCACAGCCGAAATAACCATCACGATTGATATCCTTCAGCTCAGCACTGACAGCAATACACGTGTGTTGAACATCGATGTTTTTTCCCCATCCCGATAATCCGAGCCGAAATAACCATCACGATCGATATAGTTCAGCTCAGCATTGACAGCAACACACGTGTTGAGCATCGGTGTCTTCCCGACATCTGGAGAGACATGGGAAAGACGTTCTACGAGCATTCAACAATGCCCATCACTGGAGAGCTCAATTTGACAGCTTGGATATGATTGGGGAGTACAGAGCCAGTACGAATGGCGTCAAGCATTCCAGACAAGCACAGGGGGTTACTTGGATCCCACACTGGAAGGAGAGGCCCTACCTTTACGCTCGTCAACCGGGTAATCTCTTGCACCTCTGTGTGCGGAACATGACAGAGCTATGACACCTGGTGCCGATGGATTTGTCGACTGCCCATATTCGATCACAAGGTCAGCTGGTGACATGGTTGGGACCGGTTGGTTGTTGATCGCACGATCGAGGCGCACCACACAAGCCTCGGATTTCGATGCAACGCGACAATGGAGCTGGTACAGTGCTGCTACCACCGCCTTCTAAAATATCCATTACTTTCGAACATGTCAGTACGATAGAATCTAATTAAAGTTCATCAACAGTTACAAGAGTCCAACATGTTAAATTAAGGCCAAACAAACCATCATTTTCAAAGACTGAGGTATGCTGACATGTGTGTAGTTGCTGAGGCGAAAACTAACCGTTTCTTTTCCAGTTCCACATCACTCGTTTTGAACAGTCGTCCTACTGTCCTGGCGCAATTATTCATGTGAATCCACACTAAGCACTGGACTCGAGTTTCGCTCATCGGCAGTGCATATCCAATGGCCGTTCCGGGGTTTGAACTACCGGACACCTGACACGCAAGGCGAACGTGTTACCACTATCCCACCAGCGCATGTTGGACGCATCTGACAGTGCATATCAATGGCCGTTCCGGGGTTTGAACTACCGGACACCTGACAAGCAAGGCGAACGTGTTACCACTATCCCACCAGCGCATGTTGGACGCATCTGAATTATCACGCGTGAACGGTGGAACGTGTTCTCACCTGAGCGATGTGATTAGTATGCTCGACACATCATCGATAAGACGTATTGACGACTGTTCAAAACCAGAGTGATGTGAAACTGAACAATACACCTCCCGCGAAACCCCCACATGCATCAACTAACCGGTTTTGTTTACACTTCCACCAGGTCAATACATATTATCCACACAAAGCCATCATCACGAGAGAGGAATAAGTGTCAGCTGGTCTGTCAAAACGTACTCCAAAAGCAAAACTATTTTCCCCCAAAAAGACCACTTTCGGGTGTGGGAGAGGGTCCGGAAGTGTTGTCTAGAGGGGAAGGTGTTGATGAAAAACAAGCTGGAGAATCTCGTCATTTGGAGAAACAAATGTCTTTCATGAAAGCTTATTGCACCAAAGTCGCACTTTATACTTGGTTCGGAAGGGACTTTGCGTCATTAGAACATAGTAGTTTCTCATAAGTAAACGGGGCGAGATGGGCCAAGTGGTTAGAGGGCAAATTTATTGACCGGAAGGTTCGTGGTTCGAACCCTCTCTGCCTCCTGAGTTCCCCTGTCTAGGCTTAAGGCATTCTGGTAGTATCCCAGCCCTCGTGACTCCTTCGGAAGCTAGGCACTGAAAGGGCGCTTCAGCTGAACGCTTTCAGAAGTAGAGATTTCAAACTCACACAATCAGAGTAAACAAGGCCTTCACTGAGAGTTAACTACTTTTGGAGGGGGTGCTACTACAGGAAGTGCACTGTATATGGTTGGCGGTGACACGACTTGCGGAAGACTGTTGTCTGCGTGCCTAAATTGGTTATTCGATCAATGGGAATGAACAATGAAGATTGACAGCACATCCGTTTTTGCATAAACGGAAACAACCCTTCGGAACACCGCGCATTTCTGTTGACTCAGAGGTTGGAACGGCTGTGTGTCTTCAAAGGAAGGCCAGCAGTTTTGCAATGACTCACTTGCTTTCTGAATGAAAGGTGAAAAGAGGAAAACAGTGAAAACAAATGCAACACACGAACGGAAAACCACACTTCAGTGTGGAACAGCATTTCCGCAGACCAATCCCTCACAGTTAGTGGAGGCGAAATCACAGTGTACGGGAAGGACACCTGATTGGAGTGGCTATGGGGGGCACGAGCCCGTTTGAAACAGGACAAGATGTGCTATGGAGGGAAATGATTAAGGAGAATTCGCTTTAATGAGACTGAGAACTCGGTGGAGTAAATTTTTTTTTTAAATGAGCGGGCAAAAAACGAACCGGCAGATTACTTGCTCCACGTGGCCAGCGTTCAGCTGGAGCACCCGTTCGGAGCCTAGCTGCCATGCCACCCGACGGAAGCACGAGGGCTGGGATATTGCCAGGTTGCCCAAGCCTAGTCAAGGTAAGTCAGAAGTTAGGTTCGAACCGCGGCAGAGGGTTGAAGTGTGGTCTGAGAGGCCCAAAAAAGACCGAAACCGTAATTGAAAGGTGGACTTATAAGTGAGCTTTACAACCATTAGTCTTAGATTTGGATTAAATAATAAAAAACGTAGCACTCAGCGCAGACACTCCATGAAAAGCCAGATATATAGGTGTGGTGAATTCCAAGAAGTGGCGTACCTCGCTTTTCTAACACAGGCAGTTCATTTGTAAACAACTGACAGCGAACGTCCTAACACTACTAAGCTTATACAGCTGCGCCGTATTCTGCATGGGTCAAATCAAACTTACAGTATACCCGCGTTTTTTTACCGAACCAGTCGTACTGAGAAAAGTTTTCTCCGACTGCCAGTATTATGAAGGTGTGTCGATAGCGAACGTATTGTTTATGTATTATAGCGGAAACGGCCCGTCCAAGGTGGATCCCGGTGGATATGGCCTAGTGGTACCATTCGGATGAAGTATGATGAGGCGCGAAGGACAGTCCACTATTTAGTGAGGTTCTCCTTGTAGACCCATCGATGGCTTTCAGCAGGTCTTGGGACAGTCGGACGTCTATTCGATTTCTTCGCTCGCTCGTAATATTACCTCGGG